AGAGGGCGGGGGCCTCAGCAGGGCTGCTATGGCAGACGGCTTTCAGCCCCCAGGTGCTGGCTCCCACAGTGGGGTGATGGTCACAGCCCAGTCACACGGTGGGGAGCAGAGGGCCCTGTGGACAGCCAGAGAGGCAGTGTGGCCCTCTTGCAATTCGATGTGTGCTGGCTACTGTCAACGTCACTGGGAGGGTGGGAGCCTGGCTGGGGACGGGCACCTCCTCTAGGCAGGAGCCCTTGTTTCCCCCCTGCACCTGCACAGGGCATTCCCCAGGGAACAGGTGGGTGCCTGTGTCATCCAACCGAGGAGAGCAGTTGAGTGTTGCTGGGGCCTGCTCTGCCCTCCCCATCTTGGGTCCTGTCTAATCCCAGTGTGTCCCCAGGCATATGGGCAAGGGGGTGCTGGGAGTGGATGACTGGTCCCACCAGGAGCCCAGCAAGGCTAGGCCTGTGGAGTGGCAACACCTGGAAGGGGACAGGTGGGGACCTGGGAGAGGGAGCTGTGTGGAAGACTTCCTGGAGGAGGAAGGGTCCACACTGACCCAGAAGGAGTAGGTAGCCTGCAGACCCTGGGCCAGGGATGGGCCGCATGGGGGTGGAGAGGAAGGCAGGGCCCTGTGGTGGCAAGGGCAGGGAGGGCCTCAGGACAGCCCAGCCCGAGGGTGGGAGTGGAGCTGGCTGCACAGGTAGGGGAGAGTACGGAGGCAGCCTGGGGGCCTGAGGAAGAGGAAGGGGAGAGGCTGCTGGGCGTGGTGCTGAGGGGCTCTGGCCTCAGCCAGGTGCCCGGGAAAAGGGCAGGGGGTGGGCTGTCCCCAAGCTGGGCCCAGGAGGAGTCGCCGCTGAGCTGGTGCTGAGGGCTGGTGGCAGGCGGCCGAGTGGCAGGCTCAGTGCCCAGTGGGCATCTGCTCATACAGACCCAGGCATCCTCGGCCGGCCTGGCCAGCTCACAGGGCAGAAGTGAGATTGACCTGTGACCTCCCTGGCTGCACTTGGGCAGGAGGGGTGGCCAGCTATGGCAGGGGGGGGGGGGGGTGTG